TCTCCACACAGGATCCACATATATATACAGTACAGCCCCTCCTCCTGATGTCCCGCCTTCCACTCCCCCTAGGATGGAACTTTCCCTCCAAACCCATGACAGACAGGTAACATCAGTGCTGTATGTAACATCTACTAAACTGCTCCACACAGGATCCACATATATATACAGTACAGCCCCTCCTCCTGATGTCCCGCCTTCCACTCCCCCTAGGATGGAACTTTCCCTCCAAACCCATGACAGACAGGTAACATCAGTGCTGTATGTAACAAGCCAAACAGATTCTTTATCTGATTTCTATTTGATTTGTTTGATTTCTATACTGCCCATCTGGCAGCCAAGGCCACTCTGAGTGGTTTATAATGGCTAAACAGTAACAATAACATAATCACAGAACATGACATAAATAAATTATAAAAGTGTGAAACAAAACTGCCATAAAATACAAGAGACATAATAAAATACTGTACAATAAAATGAAATAATATGAAAAGCATGGCGAGAGATTATGTTGTTGGAAGCACTATTGCATCAGGATGTTATTTGATCTGGAAAGGCCTATCGAAATAACCAGATTTTTAGTAGTTTTTAAAAAGGGCCCAGTGAAGGAAGGAGCCAGGTGGACTCTGGGCAGGAGGCTATTCCAGAGCTGCGGAGCTACCGCCGAGAAGGCTCGATTTCTGGTGGTTGTTTTCTGGGCCTCTCTCGGGGTCAGGACTCTCAACCGCCCTGCCTGTGACAATCTTCCTGGATGGGCAGACCTAACAAGAAGGAGGCTGTCTGCCAGATATCGAGGTCTGCCAGATAACTTTTTAGGGCTTTATAGGTTAATGCCATCATCTTGAATCTGGAATGGAAGCAAACAGGTAACCACTGCAAGGTAGCCAGGATGGTGGGAGTACAGTGGTGCCTCAGTTTACAAACTTAATCCGTATTGGAATGGTGTTCGTAAATTGAAGTGTTGAATCAGCATTTCCCATAGTAATGCAATGAAAACCGATTAATCCGTTCAGGCTGTTTTTTGTTCTTATGTTGAGGCGCCATTCTTAAGTCGAAACATTTGTTCCAATATGAACTAATGCAAAGCCGGTTAATCCGTCCTCTACCACTATTGGGAGAATTTTTTTAAAAAAACCTAAGATGAACTTAGGTTTTAAAAAAGGGCAGGAAAGAGGGAGGGATGGAACAATGGGGAAAAGAGGAAAGAAAGAAAGAAGGTCATCACTGGGGCACACAGACCCCCCCCAGACAAAGTTTTGTGCTGTTAAGCCCAAAAAGAGAGCATTTTAAATCCAAAAGACTAAAATGCCTAGGAGCCACAGAATCCAGCAACCATTATTCCAGCAAACAGACTCAGCACAAAAAGAGAGCAGAGAGAGAGAGACAGAGAGAGAGAGAGAAGACCGGGGAGGGGGAGACTTGAGTCTGAACTCCATTTTAGAGTCCAGCAGCTAGCACAGACCTTTGCAAAATCTTTTCTGATTTTAAATCCAAAAGACTAAAATGCCATAGTACACAAACCCTAGGAGCCACAGAATCCAGCAACCATTATTCCAGCAAACAGACTCAGCACAAAAAGAGAAAGGGTCTACAAGACCCATCAGAGCACAGAAACATAACCCCTCCAGCTAGCCCAAACCCAACAAGTAAAATCCCTGTACAGTAAATACTGTCTACTCAACCAGAACAGGGAGTCTCTCTGTTTTTTTTTTAAAGTCAATAGTCCCAAAATCAAAAATTTAAAAAAAAGCCAAAAAAAAAAAATACAGTACGGTACCAGGCAGTACCAGGCAGTCTGAAGTCTTTCTCTGTATCCACTCTCTAACCGCTGGGACGAGCGAGGAAGCAGATAAGCAGCCTCTTTGCTGGCCAGCAGTTAACTGAAAGCTCACATTTCACGCTCCCCCCACCTCCCCCACGGGTTTTTTAGTTTGTAAGTTGAAGCTCCGTTTGCAAGTCAGAGCAAAATTTTGCGAGTGGAGCTGTTCGTACGTTGAAGTGTTCATAAGTAGGGACGTTTGTAAGTTGAGGCACAACTATGTTGGTATTTTCTAACCCTATTCAGTAATCTAGCCACCATGTTCTGGACCTTTTGCAGTCTCTGTAGCAGCCCCAAGGGCAGCCCCACGTAGAGGGCATTACAGTAGTCTAATCTCAATTATGTGAAAGTATCATTTCCCCTTGGGCTACACAGCATTTTATCTGTTCCTGGTCAAATAGGTATTGCAGGTTTTTGAAGTAGGGCCAAAAACTGCCACATTGTCAAATGCCACCCTTTGAAAAACCACAAGTAAAAGTGACATAGATGTATATGCCATTAGCGAAAAGTAGGTCCATCCACTTAGTTCATAATTGGCCACAGTAAACTCTCCCTACAGAAAAGTGCTCTTCCCTAAGTCAAGTACTAGATTTTGATCCTATCATGGTCTGATCACATTGTTGGGAGCATGGTGAAGTCACAATCTTAGCCTTACGTTGCTACCTCTTCCCTGGGCCAGCCCTACCATTAGACAAAGAGAGGCAGCAAACTTGGCGTGTCATGAAAGGGCAGCAAATTTAAGTTTTTTACCTTGTTACTGAATCTGCCAGGGCTGGGGACAAGCACTTGTGCCCAAATAGCCTAGCTGGTTCAGCTACTAGGAAACTTGACAGATGAGTTGCAGAGGGCGGAGGGCATTTATTGCATCATTTCCAGCAAAAAAGAAAAAAGTATGTCTTTGCTAGTCCAGCTTTTCTGTTCCCCAGCTGTTTGAACATTTCTATGGAAAGCTTTGATCTCTCCCTCACATCATGAATGCCATCACGGCTGTAACTAATAGCTGGAGTGCAGCAGGTGGAAAATGGAAGTGGAAAGCAGAAGATGGAGTAAGCTTGTTTTCTGTAGCTCCAGACATGTAACTGGGGTTTTATAAGATTGACATATGTATTTTATCATCTGTAGTTAAAATTCTGCATGCACTATAACTGATTTTTCTAACTAATGTATATTTTGGATTTCACTGTGAAACAAATTGCTAATGAACTATCCACCCAATTACAGGTATTCATTCTAAAAATATGTACTCAATAGTTGGACTATGTTCTGTCTCTCAGTCTGATCCTACTTCACAGGGTTGTTGTTAAGGTGCCATGGAAGAACTTCACTTGGAGCTGACCACTAACATATGATGTCCTACTTCAATGGTTCCCAGCCTTGGGTAACCCAGGTGTTGGACTAGAGTTCCCAACTCTGGGAGTTGGAGTCCAAGAAAACCTTGGTTACCCAAGGTCAGGAGCCACGGTCATTCAAAGTCCTTCCCCAAGCCTCACCCTCTCATTGCTTCCTTTGGTGCAAGCACTAGTCAGCCTGGCCTACCTAATGCAGCCTGTAATTTGGGAATGGTGACTGTGTGGCTCTTCTCATCATTGTTGGATTCCCATTGTTGCTCACCATTATTTGTGCTGGCTAAGACTGACGGGAGATACAGGCCAGCAACATCTGGAAGGCCAGACATTTCTTGCCCCTGCAATACCCAGGTGTTATTTCTTTGCTCTCCCCTTTTCTTCGCTTTTTTGCTTCTAGTGGTTCCCCATGCTGAATTTTTCTCTGGGTAATATGCTCTGTTCATACTGATGGTGCAGTATAGATATGCATGCCACCCTTTGTTCCAGATCCCAGTACAATTTTCTAAACATCACATTACACTGGCTGTCCTTTGTGGCCAAGCACAGGCAGTTCATGACAAAGGAAATTTGTCTGCAGTCCGACCTGTCACTAGGTGATAGCTAGAGCTGGTTCGTTTAATAGGAGAGCCATATTTTGTTTGTTTGTTTTTTCTCTTGGATGCAGGTTTTTACTGCTATGGAGTGCAGTGCTTATAATGTATCCCACCAGCCTGGCTGTTATTGCTCTGACTTTTTCAAACTATGTCCTACAGCCAGTGTTTCCTAATTGCATCCCTCCCTACAACGCCTCCAGAATCCTCTCCATGGTGTGTTTATGTGAGTACTTATATCAATAATCCTTTCCCCTCTACACATAATGGCTGAAGTCAGGGCCAGTGCAAATCAAACTACAAGCAAAAATGGCTACCTTATTCAGGCTGCTCTTCCAAGGGTACCCCTCCTCCTCCCTACTTCTCTGGTTGCTGGTGCCACTAGTCACTCATCACTTCCTTCTCAAACCCTGGGAAGTTTTCTTGATCTGTGTTGTGAGGTGGTGGACAAAAACCCGTAACTCAAATATACAACTTGTCCCTTAAAATGGCTACAGTGATAGAGGACTGGAGGATAGCACATGTCACGCCAATCTTTAAAAAGGGAAGGAGGAGGGACCCAGGAAACTACAGACTGGTTAGCCTAATGTCTGTTCCAGGGAAGATGGTGGAAAGCCTCATCCAAGATAAAATCTTAAAACACATAGAAGAACAAGCTTTGCTGAGGGAAAATTAGCATGGCTTCTGTAAGGGTAAGTCTTGCTTCACAAAACTTTTAGAATTCTTTGAAAAGGTCAAGAGGCATGTAGATGCGGGCAAACCAGTGGATATTGTCTGTTTGGATTTTCAGAAGGCATATGACATGGTCCCTCACCAAAGGCTGCTGAGAAAACTCCATAGTCAGGGGATAAGAGGGCAAGTCCTCTATAGATTGATAATTGGTTGAGAACCAGGAAACAGAAAGTAGGTGTCAATGGGCAATTTTCACAATGGAAAGAGGTGAAAAGCGATGTGCCCCAGGGATCTGTCCTGGGGACTGGTGCTTTTCATCCTGTTCATAAATGACCTGGAGACAGGGATAAGCAGTGAGGTGGCCAACTTTGCAGATGACACAAAACTTTTCCGGGTGGTGAAGACCAGAAGGGGTTGTGAAAAGCTCCAGAAGGATCTCTCCAAACTGGAAGAATGGGTGGCAAAATGGCAAATGCATTTCAATATAAGAAAATGTAAAATAATGTACATTTGGGCAAAAAAAAATATCAAAACTTCAGTTATCAGTTGATGGGTTCTGAGCTGTCCATGACGGATCAGGAAAGAGACCTTGGTGAGCTAGTGGACAGGTCATTGAAAGTAATGCATTGTGTGGCGGCAGTGAAGAAGGCCAGTGCCAAAGAGGATTCAAAATAAAACAGCCAACATTATAATGCCATTGTACAAAACACTGGTAAGGCCACACCTGGAGTATTGCATACAGTTCTGGTCGGTACACCTCAAAAAAGACATAGTGGAACTGGAAAAGATTGTGGTGATGGCATCTGGTTTAGATGCCTTGAAAAGGGGATTAGACAGATTTCTGGAGGAAATGTCCATTGCAGGTTACAAGCCATGATGGGGATGTATAATCTCCAGGCTTAAAAAGAAGGTACCTCCAAATGTCAGATGCAGGGGAGGTGTATCAGGAGACAGGTATCTAGTTGTCTCATGTGCTCCCAGAGGCATCTGGGGGGGGGGCGCACTGTGAGATACAGGAAGCTGGACTAGATGGGCCCTTGACCTGATCCAGCAGGGCTCTCCTTATGTTCTTAACTCTCAAAATTCAACAACCAGCATGGCAGTATTGGCTGCAGTGTTCTGAAAGTTGTAATTCAAATGACAGACTTTTCCCAACCATTTTAAAGCAGTAATGTTCAACCTTTTCATTGTCAGGATCAAAGACAGACAGATATATTGTCCCTTTGTAAGATTTAAGAGCAAGAATGAATAATGCCTATATTGGACCACTGAACTATCAAAAAGAGATGAAGTCCTGACGGACTTTTTTTTAATCGCCAGTTTTCCCCTCCCTCCCCTACTTCTAAACAAGGCAGAAGTCTTTCGTTACCCCTCTTTTCCCAGTCCACTATCTTGCTGCTGGTAGAGGAACAGGTCTCTCTTGCCATAGAGCTCAACAGATCTCTTGCGAGGGCTTTTGTAATGAAAAAAGCAAAAATCAATATCAAAATACACAAATGCAAAGGGAGATAACTAACCCTCTGAACTAGGGGTGGGAATCAGGTGTCCTGTGAGTCACATATTGTACCTTCCCCCCAAGGTTCCAGAAGCAGCATTATTTCTAAATAAGGTGTATTTCCACACATACAACTTAATTTTAAAAAACAAAAAAAACAAAACAGACTTCCTGATTACATTGGGTTAGGAATTTCCAATTTTTAAAATTTATTTGGGGGTGGTATGGCTCTTCTAAGGTCCTAGGGGTAGGAAAAGCTAACCCCCTGGTATCTAGTCCTTCCTTCCTTCCTTCCTTCCTTCCTTCCTTCCTATAAACATATTTTTGTAAATCAAATTTGTAAACAAATAAAATGATAATGGTGGCCCTAGCACTATTCACTTATACTCTGGTACATAGTGAAAATTGAAAATGCTCTGAAAGATTATAATAAAATCATTACCTAATTACAAAACAACTACATTCCATTTGGGGGACTGAACTTTGTTTGCTGCTCTCTCTAGCACTCTTGACTTGGGTGAACAGCTCCAGCGTCCGATGGGCTACACGGATCCAGGATATATTTACTGCAGGAAAACTACTGGCCTTAGGCCTTATCATTATTGTGGGTTTCATACAGATCTTCAAAGGTACCTGTACAAATACTTTTTAATATTAGTACAGTATTCTCAGAAATCAAATATTATTCATTCATTTTAACTGATAGCAATTAATCACCCGACAGCTTCCATTTTGCATAAGGGTGGGCAGATTCAGAGGGTCCAGGGCCAGTTTTTCTCTCTCCAGGATTTGCTGTGCAACACACATACATCCATGCCCAGAACACGCTACAAAAATTGGGTGGCTGTGTGGAAGCAACATAATTTCACTTGCTTTAAATGCAGTATATTGGCTTGCTGCTAAAATACAAAAATTACAAAAAGCCAAAATTGCTCAAGAAACCACAAAAAGCAAAATGCTTGTCACACCAGATCTGGGGCAAAAGAGTGTCTCGTGCCTAGAGCTTGATCTCTTTTTATGAAGCATCCTTTCCTGACCTGGGGCTGTCTAGACCTTTTGGACCATATCTCCTGATGGAAGAATGGAAGGGTAGAAGACGGCTTTATAGCTGAGGTGGGACACGTTGAGCCCTGCAGACATGATGGTTAGTGGACTGTAACAGGAACGTAGGAAGCTACCTTGGGCAAAGTCAGACCATGACTCCTCTTCCTCCATTTACACTAGCTGGCAGCAACACTCCAGGTTTGGACTATTTTATCTGGAGATATCAGATACTGGAGCCAGGACTTTCTGCACACAATGTACGCAAGACACAATTTGTATCCTTTCCTAGACTGCACTGCTTAGTTAACATTTGCATGCCCATTTGCTTGTAGGAAACTATGAAGAACTGCTGCCAAGCAATGCCTTCAATTTCTGGATGACCCCATCGGTGGGGCATTTGGCATTAGCCTTTCTCCAAGGCTCCTTTGCATTCAGTGGGTGGAACTTCCTCAATTATGTAACAGAAGAATTAGTTGATCCTCGCAGGCAAGTATTTTGTTCTGAGGCTGACATGGGCTTGGAAAGAGACCATTCATTGCACATGTGCCTGGCATGATTTGTTGAAAAAAACAGCACCCATCTGCAATTACAAAACCCACATTCTGGAACTGCAACCAATTATACAAAACAGGCACATTTTCATGTTACTGTTTGTGCATCTGTCATGCACTCAGACCTTTAACATGTCATTTTGTGTGGGTCGGAGTTGTTGGTCGTGGGTGGATGAAGCAGGTAGGGACTCACAAAAGGCAGTAGGCAAGAAGAGTTTTTTTTTAAAAAAAAAAAATTAGCTCATGATGGCATTTGAAGGAACCAGTAATTGAGTGCTAGAGTCTCTAAACAAAACCTGTTAATTTCCAAGCAATGCATTCAAAATTGTCACTATTTTTCCTCTCTTAACTATTGCAGCCTTTTAGACAGGAATAGATACTATTTTGGACTATAATTCCCAGAATTCTCGAGCCATTCTTTCTCCTCAGCAGTGTACAAGGCCAGTTATTTTGGCTCCTGAGGCAAAAAAAATTCCTAGATTTCTCAAATCGTTCTTCCTCCCTAAATGTAAATATACTGTTGTAATAAATGAACAAATTGCTTCTCTTTTCATGACAATCAAAATCTGCTGCCTGAGTCATTTGCCTTCAAGTGGTTTCAATAAAAGCTATGGAGAAGGATTAAAGGCTCTTTCTCTAGATCGAAGTTCTTAGACCATGGTGGTGAATGAAAATAAAAGGCAACATTTTGTAACACTTTAGGCAACTAACACTTTTATTTCACTATGCGCTTTTGTGAATCAAAATCCACTTCCTCAGAGACAGAAGTCCAAATATATGTGCTCTATATTTATTAATATCTCTGTGACCATATGAGAATATAGACAACAAAATTTATTAATGCAGTAATGGGACTTATCAAGCTGTTAATTATTTCAATTAGCTGGTCCTGGCCAGGATAGTAAGTTGTAGGCTAGGTGGACATGGCTGTCACTGGAATGCTAATATTTGTTTCTGCAATAGTATTCAGCTTCTGTGTGAAAAGTCCTGCTTGAGTAGCAACATTGGAATACACCGCCAGTGCAAAAGTGAAGATTGCATTTTCTTCATGAAGACCCCAGCTTGCTCAACAGAGCAACACAGACCCATTTTATTATGTTGATGGGACTTTTCACTCATGAAAGCTCAATGGGATACTGGCCTTAGATTTTATCCCAGTGACATTATTTCATCTGTACAACTCATCCAGTAATTACATGTGCATGACAATGGTTGCTATACACCCATGGTTGTTGTTTTTTTAATTAGGAATCTACCTTGTGCCATATTCATATCCATCCCGCTGGTGACATTTGTGTATACATTCACCAACATTGCATATTTTACTGCCATGTCGCCCCAAGAGCTCTTATCGTCTAATGCTGTTGCAGTAGTAAGTAAAACATTCACTGAATATTTACAATTTTTGTATTATTGTTGTTTTGTTCTTGCAGCTACTATTTTATATATGCATCATGATGATGATATCATTGTCATCAGCGTCATCCTTGTACTCAGCTTGCATTCTTCTTCTTAATATTCTTATTACTATTCTGTTTCTATTATTATCCATATTCTGTGCTTTGTGTTGTTATTTTTATGATCATCTTCCATGTTCTGTGCTTTACAGTTTATCTTTCCGTTTTTGTTGTTGTTGTTTTTTACCTTTGTTCCTTTAGACGTTTGGTGAAAAGTTATTGGGCTATTTTTCCTGGGTTATGCCTGTCTCTGTGGCACTGTCTACATTTGGAGGAATAAATGGATACCTTTTTACCTCATCAAGGTTAGACGAAGTACGATTATTCTTTTCCTCAGTACTATCTTGTTTCAAAAAGGGTGAGGGGAAAACTTTTTGTTTTCACTGCTGTCTAGAATGCTTTGTTGTGTTTCATGTGTACCGTGTTTCCCCAAAAATAAGACAGGGTCTTATATTAATTTTTGCTCCAAAAATGCAGTAGGGCTTATTTTCAAGGGATGTTTTATTTTTTTCATGGACAGCAATCTACATTTATTCAAACACAGTCATGTCATCTTCTTTTGGTTGCAACACAATTCTGCAGAATGGTGGAGGGCGGGGTTTCAGTCAGAGGGCGGGGTTCCACTTAACTGAGGCTTATTTTTGGGGTAGGGCTTATATTACGAGCATCCTGAAAAATCATACTAGAGCTTATTTTCAGATTAGGTCTTATTTTGGGGGGCGAAAGGGCACTACTTCCAATACAGTCAGTCAGTCTTGTTTCCTGCCTCATTTTCCTGAATGGCAATTCTGTGAGGTAAAATTAGGTTAAGAAATTATGAGCTGGCAGGGGTAGTGGTGGGAGAATTGAAATCAGCGGAGCCAAATCTAGTGGTGCTGTTGGGGAGAACTGGAGCTGAGTCACATTATGAAATTTTCAGATGAAAGATGTAACACTGGCTGGTTTTAGAACTGGATTAGGCAAACTTCCAGAATATTACACTATCAAAAGCATATGAGAGCTAGGTATCATTTCCAAAATTAGAGGGTGTTTACCTCTCAATACTAATTATAGGGTGTCATAATAAGTAGGATGCCATTTTGGTCATGACACATTTATTAACCTCTGACCCCCTGAGCTGCAGAGCTGGGTCATCGAGTCCAGCCTCTCTCAAGGAGGTAGAGCGGGGAATCAAACTGCCAACCTCTGGCTCCGCAGCCAGAGACCGAAGCCACTGAGCTATCCAGCAGTTATGAGCATCTCATAATTGGCCACAGTGGGACTGCAATGCCAGACTCAACAGGCCTTTGGTTCCAGCTGGCAGAATCTTCTTTAAGACACTTTGAATGAATCTTGGACTTTGAATGGGGAGATGTGAGCTTCAATTATCTGTCAACCTCAAAACTCTCTAGGTAACTGTGAACATGCCACTGTCTTGCAGTCTAGCCTACTTGTAGAGTTGTGAAAGTAAAAAGGAGCAGGAGGTCTGTGGATCACAACTGAACTCCTTTGAAGAAGGGGGTGAATGCCACTAATTGTTTATATGGAGGAAATGAGAATTCAATGATAAATATTTTGAGGTGCAACTCCTGTCTCTGTTGCAAGGTACCAAGGCCAATCTCTGTGTTCTTGTTGCCCATTGTAATCATTAAATAACAGGTTGATGCCCAAGAGGTGGGAGTTGTCCTTTGTCTGAGGGGTCAGTTCTTGGAGTACGCTTGTTCTATCCAGCTATAGTCTCTTCCCAGGTAGTGTGTATACACACGCATATGCCTTCATTCTTGCATATAAAGGAGTGAACAAGAGTATGGTCAAAATTGTTGTATAATATACAACAGTCACCTCAAGTTGTAAGACTGAGGTGTGAAATATGTTTCTTATCCATTAAGTGAAACTCTCAGATGGCACATCCTTTTACCCATATCAAACTTTTCCCACTTGAGAGCAATGTCTTTCACTGGCCAGAGGAAAATGAAAACTCCAGTGCTGGCACATATTGAAACAAGACATGCAGTCCATTCCCTCATTAAAACTGTGTGTTTTTCTTTTCAGGTTGTGTTTTTCTGGAGCCCGTGAAGGCCATTTGCCCAGTTTATTGGCTATGATTCACGTCAAACATTGCACCCCAATTCCAGCGCTTCTTGTTTGTGTAAGTATCATAGTTTCTCTGATATTATATTATATCGCTTTGCAGTGCTCATACTAGTGGTATCAGAGCAAAGGGACAAAAATATGACAAGGGGATCTGTTTGACAGGAGCTTTTAGCAGTAGATTCACCCAAAGAAGGAGGAAATGCAAGGTAAAATGTTGCTTGTTAGAATTACGTACAGCTCCCTGAATTCTCAGCCTGCGACCATGAGCAGTAGCTATGAATAGGGATACAATGAGTAGTAAACAGATTTTTTTAAAAAAAATCTTGATAATTTTTGACATTTCACCCCTCCAGGATTCCCTTGCAAACTGAGAAATTACCTAGGCAGCCAGAGAGATAACTGCTGAGCACTAGCCCTAGCCACCAGTTTCTCAGAATGATTGAATTCTAGAGCTGGAAGAGATCCTGAGGGCTCTTCAGCCCAGTTTCCTGCAGAAGCAGGAAATCCAGAGATAAAGCATCTGTGACAGGTGACCACCCGACCTCTGCTTTAAAACCTCCAGTGAATTGCTCCCAATACAATCTATTCCACTGTCAAACAGTTCCTACTTCCTGTATAGGATTTAATTTTGACAGTCCTCAGCTGCCAAAGAATTACCCTCTGGCTTTCTACATTTTGCCCATTTCATTTCAGCCTCTTACATACATCAGTTTCAAATTGTTGTGTCGGTCAGTGTAAGAGGCTGACAGTGACAACAGGGGAATCCTCATAATGAATTCTGAGAAGATTGGTATTAGTTCCTTCATAGTATATAAGGTATTGTGTGCATGATTTCGTGAGGAGAAACAAAGAACATTTTGATGCCAGAAGATTCTGGGGGTGGTGGTGGTGGAATTCTGTAGAAAGCTATGGGATTAAGAAGCACTCTAGCCTTGCATCCCAGACTCTGATTTTACATGATTATGAGGATTCCATTGGATGGCACTAGGACAGTTAAAGTACTTTTAATTTGCTGCAATTGTACAGCATAGATACAGTCACAGCAAAATACATACATATATATAAACACACACACACACATACATACACGTATGTATGTATGTATATATTGTATCCCTATCGAGAGCATTATATATATGTGTGTGTGTATGTATGTATGTATATATGTACTGTATGTGTGTATATATAAATATATGTGTGTGTGTGTGTGTGTGTGTGTGTGTGTGTGTGTGTGTGTGTGTGTGTGTGTGTGTGTGTGTGTGTGTGTGTGT